GTTGCATGACATTCCGTGGTTGATCGTCGTGCGGTTGAAAGGGAAGCAGCTATTGGAAAAGCTGCATCCAGAAAGATGAACTCCTAGTTTTTTGGTATCAGGAATTGAACTCAGGTCCTTGCGCTTGCCAGGCAGGCACTGTGCTGCTGAGCTATATCCCCGGTCCAAGCTCGTGATGTTTGAGGACGTAGGATGTGATTCTACAGAAAGATGGAGATAAGGGGTGGAGAAGCAGGCCAAGAAAACTAAATGGACCTCTTTGGGAGGTGAATGTTTCTAAAGTCACAATTTTCTATGGACAGAAGACAAGGGAAATGGATCTTTTTAAGAAAGGGAAGGATGTAAATATATCAGTGTCTTTACATTTTTTGTTTGTTTGTTTTTTCTTTTTGAGACAAGGTTTCACTGTGAGGTTCAGGCTGCCCTTGAACTCACTTTGTAGCCCAGGCTGGCCTTGAACTCTCCGGGATCCTCTTGTCTCAGCCTCCCATGTGCTGGAATTAAAGGTGTGCACCACCATGCCCTGCTTGTTTTTACATTTTGTAATGATTTTATCCACTAGGCTGATAAAGAATAAAGGCAGGTTACCTATGAAAGACAGAGCTAAGCTCTTTTAGAAAGTCAAACAAAGCATTTTCAAGACATACTGCTCATTAACCATAAACACACAAGATTTATAAAAAGCAAAAAATATGATGCTGTTTTACATAACTAATTCCCAGAAAATCTTGGCTCTCCTTCCAAAAATCTTGAAATAAAATGTTTTCTGGAACATTAATTGGAAGACAGCTTGCTATCACCAAATTGTCAGTCTGCAGTAGAAACTCAAAACTGCTAACAGATTTTTAAAATGTGGAATCGTTTCAGCCAGCTGCCAAATCATTGATTTCTGTACCTTATTTAAAAACATGAGATGTCCATATAAATCTGCATAACTGTTTAACTGACAAAAATTGTTCCTTTCTATACTACATACCATAAGCATCTGATATCCTAACAGAGACTTGCTTTGACTAGAATTAAGCTATTTAAATTAGCTAAGTGGCTTATTTTAAAACAATATAGATTAAGTTTAGTTTTTAAAAAATAGAGTTCGGGTGTGAGTCCTGGCTAACAGCTTTTTTTTTAACCAGGCCTAACGATTTTCCATATTCCTCTATAACCCTGTTTCCAGTGTGTGTTGACATTTTTAACGTATTTAATCTGTATTTGTCATTAGAATTTACTTAGGAAAACTGCCCAAGTAGTCACATTAACGAGGTGATGAATTTACTGAGGCCCACGGGCCCAGGTCCACGCTGCACATCATCACAGCTTTCTCCAAGAGGAGTTGAACAGTGGGACAGTAAACAGTCCTGCCCACTCTGGTCAGCTCCAGAGCCAAACCCTTTTGTTCAAAGTAGGTGCACAGGGAGAAAGAATCACTAGAGGCTCTGTGGACCGAGGAGCTGATGGTGGGGACAGTGACCAAGTCTGTGAGGCCTGCCCTCTGCCCCCTCATGATCCACTCTGCTCGGTGCCTCTTTAAAAAGTAAGCAAGTATCTTGTTTATTTTTATAATAAACTTCTAATCATAGTGTCTCAATTTTGCAAATCTCATTTGTAAGTTTTGAAAATTTTTTGCTAGCTGGACATGTTAGGTACATCCCCATAATCCCAACTATTTGGGAGGCTGAGGGAGAAGGATTACAAATTCAAATTAGCCCGGGTGATTTAGCAAGACCTTGTCTCAAGATAAAAAATAAAAAGGGCTGAAACATAGCTCAGGGGTGAGCACTTGCTTGATGTGTGCGAAGCCCTAGGTTAGATTCTCAGTATCAAGAAACAAGAAAAAAAAGCTTTTGCTAAATGCTTACAAAGACACTTTCTCTGTCCCATTGTATAGATAAATTTGGCTCTTAGGCTATGCATAATCTATTTACATTATATTTTTAGAATCACACAAAGAATAGAGTAGAAAATTATGTAAGATAGAGTTCAGCATAGACAAAACCATTTATAATCTTAAATGTGGACTTTTTTTAATTCCTAAAAAATACTGAAGAATTCTGCCTGCCCTGTGGGATAAGATGCCTAAAGAAATGCCCTTGAAAGCACACCAGAGTAGCTTAGCAGAAGAATCAAGGTCCTCTGGGAGTGGGGCCTGCATCCTGATTTTGGAGTTACTCAGTGGCTGCCTCTGGCCAGTCTTTTTCCTGAGTCTCTGCAATAATGGGGGTGACAGTGCCTCTGTCCAGGGTGCCCATGGGCATTTCTGGCAGGATGGAGAGTGAAGTAAAGGGGTAACAGTTACCATTATTAGGGCACAGATATGTATTATACATGGACCTTATCACACATGCTTTTACTGTGAAAGTTTTTGAAAGACATTAAGAGATTCAAAGAAAAATTCAAGGAACAGAGTTTCAAAAAAGAAAGTTGCTACAGGCATGTGCATAATAAAATCAACAGCGGAATCCTGCTAATAAGTGGCATATGATGCTGATGGAAAGAAACATGGGCCTCGCTTTCACTAACGCTCTCTGAAGGCCAAATCAGAAAAAACACGAACAGAGAGGAAGAATTGTAATCCAAGATGAATGTAGAAGAGTAGTATAAATCAGTAAAAGCTCAGTCAGGAGGCTGGAAGCAGATCTGAGAAGCTTATGGGGAAACTGTTTTTAGTAAAAGGGAGGAGGTAAAGAGAGACAGGGCACCCGAGGCCTGACATCAATGTCACATAGCCAGAAGTCCATGGCAGTGTGAGCAGAGCCAGTGGAGGTGGGGAGGTGCCCTTAATTGTCCTCGCATGGCTCTGGGGCATCCCTGGGAACTGGAATGTGTGGACTGGCCTCTAACATGATGCAAGCCCGACCCCTGGCAAGCAGGGAGGGATTCTGATACTTAGGAGCAGGCAAACGTTTTGATCTGCAAGCATAAAAATGCAGGCCACTGAACTTTCATCATTCCCAGCACAGGGCCAGAAAGAGCCGAATAAGGATTGCTTGACTGGTGCAAAAGGGATTCACTGGCCTGGGGTCACTAAAGAAAGTTCCTGCCAGACAAATGACTGGCACTTCCAAAGGCTTATATCATTCAGTGGATGAGAAATATAATAGCTGCTGTCTAATTAGACTTCAGTAAGGAGCTGAGGAGGCCGCTCAGTGTTTTGTGGCAAGGACAGAAAGAAGGCAGAGGCCTAGGTGGCCGTGTAGCCTGGCTGGCTCAATCCCTCCCACCCCCGTCAAACTGCTGATTGATAGAACAGTGTCAGCCTGATGGGTGGCAGCTGTAAGGGACCAGGCCAGGGTTCCACAGTGGAGCCAGGGGCAGCTGTCCCTGACCTGGCCTTTGCCTAAGGGCCATGGGATGCTCAGAAGGAGGAAAACAGGCCCTGCTGGTGAGAAGGAGCCCTGGAAGGCCATGAGGATGGCTGCAAACACAGGCTGCAGGTGCGCCAACACAGGTTCCATCCAGGGCAGACTCAAAGAGGAGGCATCGGCACTGGGCAGATGTTTTTCTTTTCGGTGCCCACATACAGATTGTCACAGGTTTGTTAAAAGGGACTGAAATGAGACAGATTTATGACTTCGGACTTACCCTCCACCTTATTAGTGATTTGAAAGGAGAGATGAACATCAGGCATGTGATTAAACCTAGAGTTATGAGAAGGTACAAGAGAACTAGACTCTTGGGTGAGCTCTGGGCTGGTAAACTGAAAGGAGGATCAGATATGGTTTACTAGCTGGGGGCAAGAGAGATAGAGGCTCACCAGCCAGACAGATCCCTATGGCCACAAGAGGCTAAGGCAATGGTGGCCAACCTACGGCACGAGTGCCACAGTGGGCTGTTTGTATCATTGAAAGCTCTAAAAAGTTTGCCATCGAGGCACTAAGGCAAGCTTAGAGTGCTGTAGCGCAAGAATAGGGTTCAAGCTGAGAAGGGTGACAAACTGTGATGATGTTGCTCTGTCTCACAAATCTGACAGCAGTTGAACTTTTAAAAGCACTTCTAGTTTCTAGACACTGACCTAAGAATATGACCTACATAGCTGGGGACTGAATGTATCCAATGAGGATTAATGTGTCTGCCCTGGAGAATATTTAAAGGATTTTAAGGTCGTTGACTTAACATAAATGCAGTGTAGCTGCAGGATTGGACAAGCTCTTTGTAACGCTAGAGGGCAGAGATTTGTCTTCCTGGCTGTTGTCACTGTCTAAAAACAGAGCTGAGGCCTGGCAGGAGAGGTGGCACGCTGGAACCTGGACAAAATCCATGTGGGGAGGAGTTGGAGGCAGTGCGGGTGTCCCAGCAGATATTGCTCTGACGGTATGTCAGAACTGAGATTCTGTAATTCCACAGTTTCTCAGACTGTCTCCTGCTCCTAGGGGTATGGTTCTACGCTGAGAGATTTGCTTTATCTCATATGAAAAAAGGCTTCAGTTTCAACCGAGTTCATCCACAGGAGACCTCCTGTGGTCCTGTAGGGAGGGACCTGAAAGAAACAAAGACCAAGAGGCCTGACTCCGGGTCTCTTCTGGGAACCGGAGAGCAGACTGCTCCCCTGACGGGGTGCCAGGGGAGCTGTGGCTTTCTTCAGTGATTTGAAAATAATCCCCTTTTTTCCGATAGGCAAGTTGGTAAAGATAGACATTTGAATATATTTTAAATTCCCAAGAAGTTGTTGCAAATGTGAAAGAAAGTTCTGTAGAACCTGGAGCACAAGCCTCGGGCCAGTGTCACTAACCGTAGCTGACAAGTGGTGGTGAGTTTCCTGGTTCTGATCAGGGCTGCTGTGTCCGCCCCCTATGATCAGATATTTGTCTTTGTCCTCTGGGAAGTTTATTTCTAGCATATTCCCAGACAGAGGAGCAAATCACACAATACTTATTAATCTCCTGGGGAAGGGATGATCTGGTTGATGGTATAAACCTTCCACCTGGCCTGCCGTGGGAATGCAAGAAGGAGGGAACTTTTTTCAGGTCACAGCTTTACCTTTTTTGTTGTTTTGTTTTGTTTAGACAGAGTTGCTATGTTGCCCAGGCTGGCCTCAGACCTCTGAGCTCGAGTGATCCTCCTGCCTCAGCCTCCCGAGTAGCTGGGAATACAGGCGAGTGCCATGGCTGACTTACCATAATAGAATTTGTAAGCAATGTGAACTGCTGGCTTTCCAGAAGCTATCTTTTAGAGGGAAGGTCAGGCTTTCTTCAATGGAGGATCTTTCTCCATTTCTTAAAGTGCCATTCTGTGTGCCACTGTTGGTTCACAGGTTCTTAGTCGTCTGTGTTAAATGACTCCAGACTATACCTTTGTCAGGGGTGTATTGATGTCCATGCCTCCCTGTCTTCCTCCTCCTGTCTCCTTTGCTTGCAGTCTTTCACATTCCTCAGACTCCCACAGCTTCTCTCTGTCTTGACTTAGAGAAATGCTTTGGAGCTAATGCCCAAAATAGTGTTCTCCTGCCCCTTGCTACACTACTTTTGTTTTATTGTTATTCTTTTGTTTTGTTTTGTGCAAGAGCAGCCAGAGATTGAACCTAGGGAAATGCAACATTGAGCTGCATCCCCAGCCTCGCCCTGCTTTGTGAGACAGAGTCTTGCCGCGTAGCCCAGGCCAGCCTTGAACCTGCAATCCTCCTGCGGCAGGCTCCCAAGCCACTGGAATTACCAGGATTAGCCAGGGTCCCGTCTCTGGTTTTCCTTGCAGCACGCTGCTGCTGACCTGTCTCACCCCTCTCCCTGCCTTGTGGGAGCTGCAGGATGACTGCTGTCCCCAGCTCCTAGAGCAGCCCTAGCAAAGGATAGGCGCCCCGTGATTACCTGATGGAAAAGAAGGGCACTGCTCAAGGGCGTATTTTTTATAGTCTGGGATCAGTAGTGTAAGAGAAACATCCTAAAACCATCCAAGTGGCTCGGGAAATGAATACCACCTACGGTGCTGGTCTGGTGGCCACAAGGTACACACCCTTTCACCCTCAGTCGGGTGCCAAACAAAATACAGGGCACCTAACTCACTTTAAACTTCAGACGGGCAACAAATGATTTTTGATTTAAGGATATTCCACGCAGTATTTGAGCTACACTTTAAACAGTGTTTCTTGTATATTTCTACTTGCTAAATTTGGCAATTCTACTCCATAGCTCCCTCATGTATTGATTAGCCTTATGTTAGGCGCTTCATTGTTTTCTGCAGTTTTCCTAAAAGAAAGCTGTGTCAGCCTTTCCCCTGGGACACAGACTGCAGTTAGAGCTGGACTTCATTCAAAATCTAAAGTGTCTGTCACGATGATGTTCGTGTATGTAGCAACTTAATTCTTTTTTTTTTCTCCACTAGAGAAAATGTATTTAATATAAATAGAAATGACTGTTAGAGGGATAACTTTGAGCCTTTTTTTGATTTATTATTTAAAACAAAGCATTTGCAAATACAGATTTTATTATTGTGACCAAACTTAACAAATGATTTGAGACCTCTCAGCCGATTGGTATGTCGTTAGTTACCAATGACTTGCTATGAGGGAAGTTCACTTTGAGGTTGGAAATAAGTGGTTTAGAATTTCATGCTAGAAAATGAGGATTGTCCTTTTTTTTTTTTTTTTTTACTTAAGAGATGTGATTTTTCTTTTTTTTTTTTTTTTTGTCTTTTTCCTTTTTTATCAGTACCGGGGATCAAACTCACGACTGCCTGCTTGCAAGGCAGGCACTTAGCTAAATCTCCAGCCCCCAAGATGTGATTTTTCTATGCAAGAGGAAAAAAATCTATTGAAAAACTAATAATTTAATCTGATAATACTAATAATAGTATCTATTGAGATAGTTTTTAAATTATTAGTTTGCAATGTATTTGAAAATGCATTTTTCTAATGGTTAAATTCTAACATACTGCCACAGCTAACGTGCACCTTGAATTTTCTCTTTCATGAATAATAAACAAGTAGAGTAGTATTTGAGTCCTTTGGTTCCACTTAAGTGCCTTTGTCAACACTTGACATCCCTGAAGAATGGGTTTGCACATGTTAATTGTCATGCAAACAAAAGAGTGGCAGGTGAGTGCCACCTTGTGTGCTGCGCAGGTCTCAAAGTTGGGGTGGAGGTGTGGATGGAGAGAGGGTGGAGAAATTAAGATAAGAGCCAATATACTGAAAGCAGAGGTCAGGTGGAGCTCTCTCTCCTGATGGTAGCAAAGGCACTGCTTAATGGAGCAGTGCGTTTATTCATACATTTGTCACATGACACTCCTTTGCTTAACTAACTGACCTCTCAGGCCCCTTGTTCTGGGGGCTGCGACAGCTGTTTGTCTGGGGCACTCTGTGCCCGCAGGGCACTCCTCGGGCCCTGTGCTCTCAGTTCCACAAGTGTGAAGGATCACTAGCTTGGTCCTCCCAACCGGCCATTGCCCATCTTCCCCTCCTGAGAGCCTTCTCCTTGTACTCCAGCAGTGGGCCATCTCTTCCATAATGGATTACTTCAGGCACCGGCCCCTTGTCTCCCTGGAGAGTGTCTGTGTACACCCATCTACTATGCAGACCACGGTCTCCAGAGCAACCCTAATAAGCTTCCCGACTGGTATCCAAAGAATGAATTAAAGAAAGGAGCAGAGGGGATCTAGCCTATTGCAGTGGGCTGGGGGAAGAAAAGCAAGCTTTTTGACAGAATTTTTGGAAACTAGGCCTATTCAAGGTGACCTTGCTGAGCGAGCTCTGAGGGCAGCTGAACCCCTTAATGGGTCATGGGTGCAAACCAGCCCTTCCTGAGTTCATTCTGCACTCTGGTGTAAGTTTTTTGCCCTAAACCTGCAACATGAGGCAGGGACATCTATCCATGCTGAAACAGAGCCCGTGGTTGGGCAATGAACACATCTGTGTTGAAATACTACAAAAGAGACTTTGGGTTCTAACACTGGCCTCACCAGCTGCCCGCAGTGCGTGCCAAGGAGGTAACTTAGGCTCTGCGAGCTGTGTCCTCATTTGTGGGATGAGGTTAATGATGGCGACTGCACCTGCCTGCAGTCTGGCACCTGGCACAGGGGAAGTGGGGTAGGTTAGCAATCAGATTTCAGTTCTGTAGCCTAGGATTGCTGAGGCCTAGCTAAGTTCTGTGATTGTAGGAAAAGGATAATGTTTACAGCTATAAGGACTTAGCACAGAGGATCCAGAAACTTTAGATGTGTTCAACAGCAGGTGATTAGAAGAATAACATTTTCTTTTGGAGATATAAAAAAGAACAGAATTGCATGCTACTTTTGTAAATTGGCTGTTTCCAAATGGACATAAATGTTGTGTAAAACTTCCTTATAAATTGTTGCAGTCAGGGCTGAGCTCCCATTGTCCTGGGACCTGTTGGAATTTTGTTTTCTTCTTTCTCCTGTCTCCCTGCCAAGCCTGTTAGGCCAAGTCTACCTAGTCCTGTTCTGACTCGAAAATTTGCAATCCCAATCCACCCTGCCCCATGACACTCCATTGTGGGTGGTACTAGGAAAAAGATCAACCTCACTAGTATTCTTTCCGCTCAGAGCCTTTCATAGCCTGTTTCTCAGTGTATATTTGATTGGCCAAAGACAGAGCAAGTGACATTAAGGGAAAAAGACTTTACAGCCAACTTGTGTCCTGACATTTTTAAAGCTGTTTTTAAAACTTTTAAAGAGGTTTTAAAGTTACCACTGAATGGAAAAGCTTGTTTCATCTTGGATTATTGTCTGTAAAATGAATCGAGCTTTTGCACAACACATATTGTAATTTCAGGGGGGAGATTCATTCCCAGTGCAACCTTTCAATTTCCCAGAATGTGGTGCTCAGGATTGACAAGGATCCAGCTGCAAAAACCCATCAGGAAATGTTGAAAGATGTGAGGTTTCAAATGAGAAGAGGCCCTGTGTTCAAGGCACAGGGGTGATCCTAGGGAACCTCTGGGATTTTCGTGTGAATCCAGGGCGAGGTTTCATTTGGGTAGCACCTGGTTTGAACTGATTTATTGATTGTGCTGAGAATCATTTTAGTTGTAATACTTTAGTTGATAGTGCTAAGAATGTTGTATATGTGACATCAGTGACTTTCAAGCTGTATGCCAGAGACCACAAAGCAGAAGAATCTGGGGATGGGGTGGCCAAGCCCAGCTTCTACCCAAGCTGTTTTTTGCTCATGTCTTACATGTTCAACTCTCACAGCGTAAAAAGTAGGAAATGTAATTTCAAATAAATGCTTGAGTACCTCGGCATTCCTGGCTCTAACATTTATGGTTGCAGCTGTTCCAAGCCAACTCACAGTATGCAATAATCCTTAATTGTGCTAAGGCACAAATGTGAATAGCATCGCCTGCAGTGCAGGTGAGTGGCAGTGTGTATCTGGCTAGTGAATCAGTCTTGCTGATTGTTGTCACCCATGTATCCACTTGGCCTTGCATTAGTTATTAGTTTTCTTCCCTCTTCATTATGGAAGTAGGTTAGATTGTCATTGTACAGGGGGAAAATTGTGTACTGTAATAGGATTTGCACTTTGAAGCTTGCTGATATCTGAGATGTGTCCTTCCCAGATGTCTAAGGTCTTCTGGACAGTTGGATGGAATTCCAGTTGCCATGCCTGAGGAAGTTGTGAAATGTGTTCTGGAAAGTTCCATGCTCCATCACCACTGAGCATGGGAGGGAATTTTGTGTGGGGTGCAGATGCAGCACACATCAGCTCTCAAACACTGTCAAGAAGAGATTTTTCTTATCCCAATTCCAGCTGAGTCTTCTGAGTAATATGGTTTGGTGAAACCACCCATTAAAAACACAAAAATTACATCCCATTGTATTCTGTGCTTTGGGACCCGCCTGAGACAAATGTTCCTGAGACTGTGCTGCGTTTGTAGAGAAAGAGGTTCTGTTAGTGGCTCATTAATCTGGATCATGTTTGGCGTGTTCTGTGAGCTTGTTAAAATAAGACTTTTGTGCCTTCCTAAAAACTATTAAAAAGAACTGAGTCATGCAGTTTGCCAGCATCACAGTTAAGAGTGATTAAGTCCCCTTTTCCATGGCTGCTGGGGATGGTCCAGATGGCAGGTGCCTAGGACAGTCCTCCCTACCCTGAGGTTTTAAGTGTGGCTGTGACCCTAATTGTTATATTTATTAACTGCGTTGTGCTCACTTGATACATGTGGAGCCCTGGTTCATGTCAGTTACTTTATGAATGCATGAGGAAAAGATTGTGTTAAATGAAAGCAAATGCACAGAACTCAGAAAACCTAGCTAGCCAGGGGTGGAAGTGTTTATTAGTCGTGTCTCTCTAAACACATGTGCAATAAATAGGTCCTTCTTCTCCTCTATCTCCTCCTCCTGTTTTCACTCACTCACTTTCTTGGCAGTTCTTCTGAAGAGCCAATTCCTACTTACTCTGGATACGGAGAAATAATGGCCAGTCTAGGTTCCTCAAGTACCTTTTCTGTCTGCCTGTCACCCAGCGATTGGGTGTCACCTTTCCCTTGGGCTGTGTTTCCTGGGCTCCATACAAAGTGAGTGGCTTGTCATCTCCTTGACTAAGTTATATCAGTTCTCTGCCACTAATGCAGTTTGCAAATTAGTTTCTCTAGCTATTTTTTTAAAAACTGGCATCTGCTCAAACAAGCAACCATATAGTTTCTCCAGTTCAGCTGTGAAGACAGCCGAGGACACCAGATTGAGTTTGCTTTCTGCAAGCTGGATATAGGAATATCAAAAAAAAATTTTAATGGATGATTGTTCACTTTTCAAAAGGTTTCTTTGCCTCACCCAAAGAGAGTAATAGGATTTCTTTAAACACTGATTCCTTCTAGTGTCCTAAATATAAAATTTAATCAATATCCTATTTCTAGAGCATTCTTCATGCATAAATGTGACGTGACTGTTAGATATATTATAATTTACTTAAAGTTAACTTTTAAAATTACTAACTCTTTTTAGTCTGAGAGGTTCAGTTCTACTAAATCGAACTGATTTCACTCTGGCCTGAAGTGAGGAAACGAGTACATAATAATCCTCCATGATGGTTTGCATACAACAAATTTTAAAATGAGGACACTAGGTCATGTGACCTGCAAGGCATTAATCTAACAGCGTCTGTTCTCAGAAACCTAAAGGGAAGGCTTTGAACTTTTCAGCCAAAAGGAGAGCTCTGTAAAGCCGTCTCCAGGATAAGCTTCATTAGTACAAGCTCAGACAAGAGACCTATAAGTAGTCCAGATAATTCCTCTGCCAGTGGAATGCATGTCCTAGAGCTGCTTTACACAAAGGGTCTAACATAAATCACAGGTAGACTTTTATCTTCCAGAAAGGCTATTTAGTGTTATTCCAATTTCATTCGTTCTGTTCTTCATCACTGGGTGTCCATTAAGCCCAATGCCAAGAATCAGGATTTTACAAAAATGATTTTGGGCTTGACTTTGCTTTCATGGAATTTGTAGTCCAATTTTTTCATCCTATAGACTAGGTGATGGCTGTAAAGTTGTTGAAAGGTGCCTTAGATAACCTGTTTTTGCCTCCTTTTCTGACTGCTTCTGTCTTTTGCACCACCCCAAGGTTCAGGTATCAAAGTACAGAATTGCCAGGTCATATGTAGCCCAAATGCATCACACACTGGGCCATGGCTGATGGCTGTCTGTGCGTGGTTCGCAGATGTTCTTTTGAAATTTTTCTTTGTACTCCGTAAGGACATGAGAACATTGGCTGTGTGCTGTTGTTGTTTGTTTGTTTGTGTAATGCCAGGGTGCTGACCCCTCGTGCCTGTGATGATTCCTCTGAGTAGAAATGGTCCAGAGAAAGAGGGAGAATGTTGGGAGGTACAGTAGGGGAAGGGGAGCTTTGGCCTTGGGACAGGAGGACAAGTTCAGAGGGAGTACTGTGAGTCTCTAGCAGCCAGGGGTTTAGAGTGTGTGGTCAGTACCATCACTGATGCCCTGGTCTTTGAGGAAAGGATTGTAGGATATTCTTCACATTTCTGCCAGTCACAGGAGACCTCCTGGCAAACAAAGCATTTGGGAAGTCGTTACAGGGGAGGTGGCCACTAAGCAGACAGGTTTTCCTGGCTAACAGATCACTCTCGGGGCACAGAAGAGAGAGAGACATGCATCTCCGTCAGAAGGAATAGAAAGCCCAATTTTAGATCAGCAAGGATTCTGCTGCCGTTTCTGTCCCCAGGGCTGCCTGCACACAGCTGGCAGGAGGAAGAGTGGCCCCTTTCTTCCTCCTCTGTGACACTTTTCACACACACACTCACTCAGCCGCACAGTCAGCTTCAGTGGTGAGTGTTAATCTCCATCTTGCAGATGAGGAAACACTGAGTGGCCAACAGTCCCCCCCGAGGATGGTACACCTACCTGGGAAAGAGCACAGCTGGAAATGCAGACCCGGAGTGCATGAGGCCAAGTGTGTGCTTTCGGCCAGCACTGTGACCTGCCTGTCCATGGAGGAGCTGGCTGGAGGGATTCTGCCAGGCTGTGAACCTTGCACCAGGGACGCTGTGCCTCCTTTGTACCAGCTCCCGAGATTGGATTCCAGCATTGTAGAAATAGCAAGATGCATTATGGTCCAAAAGTCTAAATTACAATTAGGTCATTCATGCAAAGTGGCATAATTTTTCAAGACAGAATATCTGACATATTTGAATTAAAAGAATTAGGACTACAGAACAAAACAAACATATAGATTCTCAATCTTCATGTGTCCGTGGGCAAGTGTGGAGCTTCAGAGTTATAGTTTTGTAGTGAGAATTTTGTGCTTTACAATTCCTAAAGTCTGTTTTAATGCTAATATGATCCCTTTTGCTATTATCCTGGAATTAAGTAGCTTCTTGGGGATCCTCAAAGATTGTAAGCATGATATGCATGTGAATATGAGAGAAACACTGTTTATCCCCCATCATAGGACTAAGTTTCCCTACTGGGCAATGACTGCCTTTATTTTATTTTAATTATTCTTATATTTGGTACTTGGAACGACATGATTTCATATTGTTCTAATCTAATGGGATGTGGCTCCATACATTTTGAGTAGGTTTTAAACCAGGGAACAATAAAACATTCAGCAAATTATGTTGGAAGGCATCTGCACACATTCTATTCACAGCCCTGAGCCAGCCATCCTGCTCCCATATGGGTGACCAAACGCATCGACTGGATGAAGCAGGCTGAGATCTGGCATCCGTAAGCCACTCTGGCTGGCACTGCCGCTTCCACATGGCAGGACAGGCTGGTGGAGGCTGGGTCTGATGTCTCGGAGAAGAGTGCGTGCGTGCCAAGTACTGTGCTGCCACCACATTCTTCAGCCCACTGGTTATGAATCCAGGATCATCAGTGTGCTGCAGCTCAACCTCAGTGTAGTTTTTCTGTCCCCTGGCTTCTTACTGACATGCCTTCACCTTTCCTGGCTAGCAGAGGAAGAGGAAGATGCCCGGTTTCCAGTGGACAGCTTTGTGGGTTGCTGGCAGTTCTGATAAGAGTGGTTCTGGGGGCTGGGGGTGGAGAAGAGGAACTAAAAAGGGATCAGAGGCTTTCTGTGGACTTTGTCTCCCAGTATTGTTATCCTTGCTTTGCCTTTGTGAGCTGTACTCCAGAAAGGACTCATTTGGAAATCCATTAAGGAGGGAAGATGTGACCAGACCACAGAGGTCAGCTGGTTTCTGTTTCTCCATGCAGTTTGCTCCTGTGGGGTTGTGTTCCTGAGGAAGTGTTTTCTCTTTTTGTCTGGTGCTTCCTCCAGTCCTCTGCTGTGACTGTCATTGACTTGGAAACCTGGCCACTGTGTCTACAGTCAGTTCCTGCAGAAGAGAGGCCGTGCCTGATGTGAAAGCAGCTATGGCTTCCTGTAGCCCTGGGCACGGCTGGGTCCTCACCGTGGGCCACACAAGGGGTGGCTTCTTTCATGTCTAGATGCCAAGGCATTGGAAAGAAGTAGCTTGGAGAGGAAAGGCATGTAATTTGGGGGTCAGGCATACTTTGTTTGATATCTGGTCCCTGCCATGTGCTCAGGTACTTAGGCTTTGTGAACCTCAGTTTTATTATTTGCAACATGGGGCTAGTGAAGAGAGCTGCTCAAGAAGAAGTTAAAGATCATATAAGTCTCCTAGACTGCGTGAGCTAGGGTGCTTCCATTTCTACGGGCCTTCATTGTGTCCAGTTTATGTTGGAGGAAGTAGAACTGCATTTCTAAGTGGAGGACAGTTGCAACAGACACGTTATGGGCAGCAGCTGAGCTGCAGAAAACTGGTTGTAAAATGCTCATGGTTTCTGCCAGGAGCGGCTTTCACCTATGAGCACTGCTGCTCTCAGACTGATTGATTGATGGGTTGATTTTTGCATTCTGGAGATTAAACTCAGGGCCTTGAGCAACTCAACATATATTCTCTCTGATGTGCATCTCTGGAGATACATATATATATATTTTTTTAAACAGAGTCTCACCAAGTTGTTCAGGCTGGACTCAGATTTGTGATCTTTCTTCCTCAGCCTCTTGAGGAGCTGGTATTACTGGCATGCATCATCATGCCCAGCATGAGATTTGTTTAAGGAAAGAAGTCTTATTCATTACACCATATTCCCGTTGAAACGTAAGGCTTCCGACCTACCATTCTTTATCCTGGCAAAGTACATCCAGTACTCTGAGGATCTTGCAACACACTGGTAACTGCTAAAGAAGAGTGACCTGACCTAGGGGAAACATATTCCTTCACAAAAGCTCTTGCTGCTTACAGAGTTTGTAAGAAATCACCTGTCACACCCCCGCCGTGGCTCTCTGGGGTCTGGGGAACAGCTGGGTGTCACTGTGTGGTGAGGCTGTAGATGTACTCATGCTGAATTTTTCATACCTAAAGTTTTCACTCAGTAGCCTTCGTAGTGTCTGGCACCAAGATGGTGCTCACAGTGGGAGAATCAGGCAGGGTAAAATTACAGCCCACACAGCCTGGGACTTGAGCACTTGGACACTGTGGGTTGTAGGCAGTGGTGCTTCTCGGAACCCTTTGTAGAGTTTGTTTTATGGTTTTTTTGTTTTTTGGTTTTTTTTTTCTGTGTTGGAGACACTCCAAACTATTTTTCAGGGTATTCTTTATAAATCATTTAACATATTAGGGCTACTAGCAGTGGCAGAACTACACGGATGACTTGAATATTATGATGAAAGATTAATGTGTCCTTATTCAGTGTTAGGAGCAAGGGTTGGTGTGCAGAGGATAGAGTGGCCAGAGCACAAATCCTGGTTGTGTCCCAACCACTGGACTGACTTTTAATATGGGGCCGGTCCTGGGAGCCCTTGCATCTCACCTTCGTGGAGGGAAACTGATCCTCTGTTTAGGAGACCAGAGAGCCCATGACTGTGAAGGGGCTTCAAAAACCAAAGCGCACTCTAGGAGCTGTTCATTCTCTTGTTGTCCCTGTTCCTTGCTCAGTGTGGCAGTGTTGACAGCCACCTCTTCAGTGATGGATTGTGTCAATGCACCTGTTGCAACACCATCAAGCACTTAGGAGAAATAGCGAATCCTCCCAGTTAACCTTGATCACAAAAATACTTACCAGCATCCCACAACAAACTTTATGTGCCATTTAAATTCATTTGTCAATACGAAAATATTTATTTCTCTTACCTGGCAACAAAGAAACACAAATTTAGTCTGTGTCAGCACCGTGTGCATTTACAGACCCTTCTTCTATGTCCCTACCCCCGATTTGAGTTAATCTTCCTTTTTCCTTTTTTGCCCTTTGTGTTCTCATTGGACAACAGCCCTCTCCTGTTACAGCTGGGCAAATCTTATCCAGATTTAGGACAGGGGCTCTGGAGCTTCATTGTTGCAGCAATTGAGTCAAATGACCGAGCTTTCCATCAGTCACTTTCAAGGTAGCTTTTTAAAAATCAACTTGTTAATGTCAGCTTTTCTGTTTGAAGGAAAAATTTATTAGCAAACCATTTATAATAATCCAGAATAATAGATGTTGCCCTGGCAGCAGTTTTGTTTTGTGTGGCTCCTTTATACGTTTTACAAAGTTATTTCTCTATGCTAAAATCACAATGGAAGTATGAAAAAATTAATTTTATTGTTGTCAATTATTTAAAACATTAAATAATTGAGATGGCCATTGCAAAGCCTGGTTCTTGATTCCCCTTGTTGCATAAGATAGCTAGAATGCTCTAAAATATATAATGATATATAATATAGTGGTATGACGTAATGCAATGTAGTATGTTATAGGTAACTGTTTTGGTATCATCTAAGTTTTTCCAGAAGCATAAAATCAAAATTGCCACGTACAGTCTTTTTAATCACCAAAGTTTATCATTTTGTTACTAAAGACAGCTAAGTGTCCAAGCGGGGATCGAACTCATAACCTCGATCTTACCAGGCACTTGCTTAAGCCACTGAGCTAAATCCCCAGGCCCTTGGTTGTTCTTTTAACAGTTATGAAAAATCACATAATTTTCAGCCCCAATTAATTATCTTTTCAATAAAGTCTGGTGAAGTGGTTTCACATTAGTTTTAGAATCAGACTTAATGTATTTAGAACCTATCTCTGTTTCACTAGATAATGTTTTGATAAACTTAATTGACATAGTTGTTTAAACTAGTCCAACTATTTGAATTATATAACTAAGTAGAATGCTCTTACAGAATGCTTCCAAGCTACTATAGCTATTAATGTGTTTTTTAGCTTTCATGTGGTGATTTCTTAATTTCAGAAATCCTGAAGGAACCAAACAATGATGTGTCCTAGATCTTATGCAGCAAAAGATGTGAAAACGTAGAAATGTGTCTTTTCAGAATTTTATACCCATAAGAAGATTTTTGATTGACTTTAGATGCAAGGAGATATTTTGAGATTTCTCTAGAAGGTCAGCTGGTTCTCAGCCCTAAGCAAAACTAGAACTGTAGGTACCAGGTATAGGTTTAGATAAAGCCTGACCATTGCTGCAGACTAATGTGGTTGGACCTGGCTGCGCTCTGTCAGGAGCTAAGAAGGCAGGTGTGGATGAGCCTGGTAAAAGTTAGCATTCAATGCCACCTTCCCAGACAGTGCCTGCTCAAGTCCTCGTGTTTGTACACGAGGAGGAGCTAGGGCCCAGCAAATTAGTCATTGGCAGAATGACGTCAGGAGCCTGGGTCCACTGACTTCTAAGATGGGACTCCCTGAGCATTCCCAGGGCAGAGATGGCCACTGCACAGCCTGGTTCTTCCTGGTGCACTGGAAGAAGATTATGGCAGTTTAGAGTCCAGAAATCTATGACACATTGAAAAATTTACTGTTGTGTTGACGCCATCTCTTCTTTAGAAAGTATCTTGGAAAAAAACTAGGAAAAGTTATTCCATTGACCAGTGATGACCAGTTATTGTTCCTTTTGTCAACAGGCAAGATGATGAATGAAGTTCTGGCAGCTTCCTGTGTCCCAGGCCTTGTAGAAATAACTGAGACAGACGCGCTTCAAAGCTCTAATGTGCATCACATCGGATCTTGGTTAAGGAAGCGTTAAAAGGAACCCGCCATTACCTATTGAGAAGGCTCTGTGCTCTCAGGCATTTGTTTCTGATTGAATCCAGAGGTTGCAAGCATGCTTCCCTGTATTACCTGTTGGAGCAGGTTTAATTTTATAAATTTTAAACACAAACTCTATGAGTTTCTAGTTCATAATTGTTCTTTTTGAGGATCCACTCAGATGAACAGTATTGCATCTGTAAGAGATACATACACACCTCCACAAGCCCAGAATTGATTGGAAAATCAGTGGCAACAAGCTCCCATCTGTAGCATCATCCAGTACCAGTAATGGAAAGGACAGAGTGCTTGGAATCCTTTGGGGAGAAGTCATGTTGTGTTGAAACTACAAATGACTGGAACCATAGCTTTAGTATACCATGGCTTTTAAAACAAACACAACTGCATACACTGGGTAGTTTTTGACCAGTGGCTTTAATTCGTTATTGCTATCTCCCTGGATATCGTCAAACACTGAAAGTCTTCAAATTGCATTAAAAAATGTTTTTAAATGCAGCTTTGACAAAATTCAGTGTTCAGTATAGTATTCCAAGTATTCCACGCCAGACTTCCTGTCCTGTAATTGCAAACAGCAGGTACCCAGGTGGTAGACTAGACCTTGTGGCAGAGTAAGGAATGACAGTGAACAGGCACACTACATTGTATCCTAAACATACTTTATAAGTACGTTTCTTATTTGCTTCTTATTCAGGCAGAGATTATAAAAGTTTGTTACAAGTATCCAAATCAGGATTTGTGTTTTGTAAATGATCAATGTTCACAATACCCACAAGGGGAAAAAAATGGAAAAATTCAAATATTCATACCCTTTACACTTAAAAGAATATTTTTTATCATTCTTTTGTTTTGGCTCTGTCAAAAATTAAAGTGCTTGGAATGCTGTAGTCTGTGGTCTCTTGAAGTTTAATCAATGAGAACCTAACACCTTCACAGTATGCTGTCACTTTGGACGTTCATAATAAAAATTGAAACTGATTTTGGTTGCTAGTGATTTATTTTGCTTTGTAGCTTGGTACATCATTAGTGCTTCATGTTTGCCTAGCAGATGAGTAATCCTTATCACCATATATACGGATACAGAGATAAATAGCATAGTCCAAGCCTTTCACTATAACTGTCATTGTATCACTGACATTTTCCAAATTTGAACAGCCACTCCTGTTAGTTTTTGCAAGGCTAAAATGTTTTTGCCAAGGGATTTTTGAATATTCATTATACAGTACGCATATGCAATGTACATTTTAATTACCATTAATTTATGATTCAGAGAATTCCTGGAGATTGAACCTAAGCTTTCTGGAGTTTCTGCTTATATTTTGTACTGAATTGATTATAAATTTTGATCATAATGTATTTTCTATTAAACAATAAGCAGGGAACTGGAGAAGGCTGTGGGTAATACAGTGGCCATCTAGGCATTTCAAGAGCATCTTTCTTTGACTCTGTGCCCGGTGTGTTGGAGTACTATTTTATGTATTCTGTCATACTATAATATAGTAAGAAAGAAACCACTCCAAAGGAGTCTAAACAAATGAGTCTTGTGCAGAAAACTTGGATCTTTCTTGGCACTTTTACCAAATTGGATTTGACAATAAGATCCCATGTCTTCTTCTTTTGTAATGAACCTGCGTCTGGCAGGTTTACCATTCATCGAGCTCTCTAGCTCCCCTCTTCCAGACACCACCAAAAAAATGAACAGCATGCATTTGGGAGTAGCCAGAGTATTCTAGCACATTTGCTCTAGTATGAGCAAATGATTTGGGAACTTTATTTTTAAGGCATTACCTGAGACTGGCCTCAAATTGCTGGGCTCAGGTGATTCTCTCATCCCATCCTGCCTCAGCCTCTCAAGTAGCTGAGATTGTAAGCACTGCACTACCCCAACTGGCTTAGATTCTGTAACTCTGTAATTGGAAGAAAAAAAGGAGAGTGCATTTCTTTTCAGTGAATGGGGTGGAAACAAAAGAGAGAATACAAATAGTTCCATTCCTCCAGATGTGTCTGCATGCAGCATTTAGCTGCGGGTGCTTTTCTAATAATAAAGTGCATTCACAGGGCCCATCTATTAGCAGAGTCATCTTTTGAAAGCCTGTAGGCCCCTTCATAAACCAGAGGTCGGTGCCCTGTGGTAGATGATTCCTTTGCAAAAGCGCCGCCCCTTTGTGTATCCAGACCAGGCCTCTTGGCCCTGTCCCCCAATATTAACAGCCCACATTCTGTGTCTGCCTTCAGTCCAAGGCAAAGGAAAGCTCTCAAAAGCCTTCCATCCCTGGGGACTTCGACATGGTGAGCTGGCTTTTAAAACAGTTTTAGGTGACTTTAACACACTGAAGCTGTTTAGTATCTACACAATTACAAGAATCCTTGATATGGGTACAGTATTTGGTAGTGTAAATGCTGGTTTCTCACTTGAGTTCCAAGGGTAACCATGTCATTCAAATGAGATAGGTAGTCTTAAGCAGTTTCTTTGTGGTTAATAATTTCATCATAGAAGAAAAGAAAACCTTGCTTCATAATAGCCACCCAAAGGAAGTGCACACAGACAATTGCTTTTATCCAAAGTTGTTTGTGTTCTACACAATTTAACAATATAAGCAATTAAGAATGTAAAGTCTGATGCTTGAAAAGGAAGGCTTTTTCCAGTCATTATTAGTGATTTCCCCAAATTGACTGCTTTTACATCCATTTGTTTAAAATTGGGAAGCATTTCACCCTACCACAGTGACATCAAAACCATTATTTTCATAGATGAGTATCTCTCAGAAGCAGCCTGACAGTGTTTAGACTCTCACAGTTATTATCTCATAGACATTTATTATACCACTTAGCATCTCTGAGAAATGTTTACTCTTATTTCTTCTGAGCATGCCTCCTTCAAAACATTTTTTAAATATAGAAAAATACTCAACTCATATGCTATGCAGAAATAAAATGAAAACCATTTTCATACATTTCTATGTTGTAGCAAGAATAAATTCTTTCCGGCCCAGTAAATGCCTATAGACAGTTTAGGAAAAAAGATTGTAAGTTATGAAAAAAAAATGCATGCATTTTATTAACTAAACATTCTATACAAGATCAAATATTGTGCTCAGATTCAATTTCTTTTAACAATTTTTTTTTGTCTTTTTCCTTTTCATCGGTACCAGGGATTGAACTCACGACTGCCTGCTTGCAAGGCAGGCTCTTATGCCGCTGAGCTAAATCCCCAGCCCCCAGATTCAATTTCTAAAAAGATAGAATTCACAAAATTAATAAACACTTTAAAATGCATTGAAGGTTCCATAGTCCTAGACATAAAAGTGACTTTCAGTTGGTTGGAATGGTCAGCCTGGGTAGTTGGAAGACCCTGAATATGTCTTTCATAATTTTGCCACTTAATTGTGAGCAAAGAAAAGATTACTGAGTAGAAACAATTGCTACTCAAAAGACTTTTTGGAAAAGCTGAGCCAAATATCATCTTATTGATTTTTCATAAAGTTGCATTGATATAAAATATTCCCACACTCTTTGTCACATCAAGAACCCACACGACATACAACATGCACCTCCTGCTTGTGATGGCATCATTCTAATTCTTTATTGACAGAAAAAAAAAATCAAGAAAAGTAGTTTCTTTTTCAGAAATGTCCACAGACTGGGAAGTTTTGTTTGTGTATAAATGTTCACCCACACGCATGCTTTGTGGACTAGGCAGAGTGACTAGAATCTTTCCAGGCCATAAAGAAGCAAAAGTCCCAAAAAAAGGTGGAGCTGGGAGTTGCTGGGGGACTTAGGAACCCAGAGGCCAGTGTTGTTGCTGCAACAAGTTTGGCCAACTACAGCTGCAGCCCCAACTGCTTCCTGTGGACCCCAGTTCCCATCCGTGACTTTTTAGAAAAATGTTGCAAATTTGTCTTTAAATACCCATAACTCTATTAATCCAGCACATAATTTATTTAGTGCTTACTAAGTCCCCAGTTCTGTTTTTGAGATCAGAGATGGAACTACAAATTAAAATCATGTCTGAAACATGATGTCCTGTGTTCAATTTCCAGTACCAAAAAATTAGAAAGTCATGCCTGTTTGTGTCATTAAAATCCACACATTAAAATGGAATACAGTGATGTAGAGTTGGTTAAGCAGCAGAGGAACACATGAGAGGCTCACAGAGGCAGATGCAATTCAGTGGTTTCTCTGAAAATTACTTACTAGCTCATTTCCACTACAGGAAAGAACCACAGTTCTTACAGTTTGTCCTTTTGCTGTTTCCCAGCCAGTAATGTGTTTACTGGTTTATTTGGAGTTACCAATACTGGGATTATGTTTGCAATAATGAATCATTTCTATTCAAACGGTAATATCTTCAAGGACTTTTTATCTGATTTCACTGACCTAGCAGCAAAGATCCCTCTAGCAAGTGTGTTCTCTAGCTAGACAGTCCATGCAGCAGAGCTTAGGCAGGATTCCTCTTTTCTGAACCCCTGGACGTTAGTCAGGATGTAACTCCTGCTCTCTACAGATGCTTACACTGAATTATACATAAGAAGTGATAGTTCAACTATTAATATATGGAGGAAAATCTTAAAATTTTCAAGCATGATGACTTTGACTTCACAACCTTTGGAAGATTATAAATAAAACACAAAAAGCTGTTTCTACTATGAGACTTACATGAATTCAGTTTCTTGAGAAATCTTCCATATCTAAATGGACTGCAGCAACACAGTGGGATGGCAATAGATAGACAGTTGTCTTGGCCCACATTTTCTGTGGAGTTGTATTTTCCTGTGGACATCTTGGTACACAAGCCACAAGGTGGGTTTTTCCAGATCCCTGTCATAACTGACAGGAGAAGAAAGGTTAACTGTATGTTTGCAGTCTACTTGCATCTTGTTTTCACAGATGTTTATTAAATACAAAAGAAGAAAAAAGGCCAGTAGACAATCCCATAGGTTGTGGATTCAGTTCACCATTAGCTCTTATTTTTTTTTCAAGGGAAAAGGTGCATTAGATCTAAGTGCAGGAACTTTGCTGGACTATGAGATTTGCGAGATGTAGGTTTGCTGTGGAAATTCAAATATTTCCATCCACTGGTAAACACTGGACAATGTATGTTACTTAAGCTATCATAAGCATGACCACAACTAAAACATTTTCTAAGTACCTTTTCTTGGGCTTCAGCCAAGACACAAGGCACAACACCATTCCACTAAAACTCTCTTCACATCCCAACTCACCTCAGGAGGCTTAACCAGCCATCAAATTCTTCCTACCAAGAATCCACAAACAATACCAGAACAAACTATTTTCTAACAGTGGAGACAGCTTGTTCCCCACACTGGATCTCCAGTTTGCAAGTAATTTAAGTACATGTATATGTCTTTAAATGTTTTACTTTGTACATTTTTATTAGTATGTGTTTGCAGTACATAATGGTTACAATTCATCATAATTGTGATCATTGATCAGTAGAGATCTAAAATGCCAGCCCCAACCAGCCTGTCCCTACCTTATTGTCATCATTTGTTTGCTCGGTCGTGACTCTGTGAGGTAGGTAAGGCAAGGGTAGGCTGATTGGGGCTGGCAATTTTATATCTAGTTTTCAAGACTGATTGTTTTTCAGCTAGGTCTTATTTTCAGGGAAAGGGTAGACATGTTGTAAGCCCTTCCCGTGGGTTCTGTGATTTTTTTTTTTAAGAACTTCTGGAGGTGTTGCCCTCTTCAGGCTGGCTGAAGGCTTGGCCCCTCCACCCCTTGTTACTTAAAGCAGATCGCCTGCCTCTCTCTCTCCCATGTGCTCTGTGCTTGAGTATATATTTCTTCTTCCAGACGTGGGGCACATTCCCTGAAGGACTTGACCCTCTCAGCAGCCTCTTGCTAAGGAGTTGGGGCAGGTCAGGAGCCCAAGCTGAAGCAGAGGTCCAGGGTGGCTGAGGATGCTCACCCTTCTGCTGAGAACTGTTCCTAGGAGAGGAGTTGCTGTTCCCTGAGGA